AACGATAAAAATTATTGTTTGTACAATATCTGGCAAAATGGCCCATGCGATTGCATCGAAAACAGCGGCCGCCACTCCGATTGCCGAAGCAATTCCGTTGTGCCGTATTTCTTTGGTTGTCCCTCGCCAACAACTGTTCGACCATGCACGATAATTGGTGTACTTTGCGCTCCAGCTCGGATGGTTGCACTCTTCGTACGGTCACCGACCCCAAGAAACTTTGTGCAATGGTCACCAGTTCTTCTGCTTTTTCGACCCCAACCATTGACGCCAGCTTTACCTTCTCCTGGAGTTCGCTTGGCAGACTTTGTATAAACTGACCTCGCAACAATCGTTCTCTTGCCGCGGCGTCCAGCTCAGGGAGCCCAATTGCCACGTGTCTGCTCAGCCTGTGGAAAAACACCATCAGATCTTCCGGCTCTTCCCACTTTGCAGAGTGAAACTGCTGCAGCGCATGTTGGCGGTCGATTTCTTTTCCAAACTCCAGACAAAGTGCTGCCTTCATCTCAGCAAACGAACCACCGGCCTTGACTTTCCGAGTCAACAAATATGTCGCCTTCGCTCGTCCGGTTAACAGCGTACCCAAAGCTGTCAGTAGGTTCCCGTCTCCCTTCACTCCATTGCAAGCGGCAATCGCTTCGAATTCCTCCAACCAGGACTCCACATCACCCTCCGCGAACTGCGTTGGCCAGCTCAATTTCATCCTGGTCACGGCACCAATGTAGCAAGAACGACGGGGCAATAAAGCACGATCTGTATTGCACGTCACGATCTGTCCCACACGCGCTCACGCCCACACACATATAGTCACATTTCTACACCACAACGCACCAGAAATGCGTTGCGGTCGACGGGCACCTTCGCCCGCCAATTGGCGACAATTCGGCAACTCAGCTTCGCCTATTTTGCTTCGTATCTCCGCTCCTGTACGTCGCTTTCCGACCAGCCTGGATTTGTTCGAAGGCTCTCGACTTGCTTGATCTCCCAGGCGTCACTCGGCTTGGAGTCATTCCTTGGGGCATAACAATCGGCGTCTTTGTCTGAATTCTTGGCCTCTCCTCCAATATCGTTTGAGATCTTCCGGGAGCAGACTTTCTTCCCGTCGTCGCCCGCGGTCCCTTTTCCACTCGTCCGGTAGGGCCTGCGTTATGCTGACTGATTCCGGTGCCTCCGTCGGATACTCTTTCTTGCTCTTGTCGTTTTCTGCTGTTCCGTGTTGTCGAAGTCCTCCGCGCCTCTACACGGTGACCAGGTGACAACCAATGTCTGCCGATCGAAGATTCCCGCGGCTTGTGTAACCACGTAGTTCGACTTGGGCTTGCTTGTTGCACAATCTCGCATTGAACCCATTTTGGCACATGCTCCTCCATTCGAGAACTCAGGATCTTATCGGTCCTGTACATGTGACTAGCTTTGCAATTACATAAAAATTGGTTCATGCAATGGGAGTTGGCTGCGATAGGCTGGGTTTCCTTCAGTGGAGGCAGCGGCAGCTTATGAGTTTGATGATTGCACCTTCGATAGCACAGAAAGTGCTCTGTGTGACAGAAATCAGACGTCTTTTAGTCCTCAATGAAGCGATGTCACCTTTAAAGGGTAGCTCTAGGAATACCTTTTTCTTAGGTACAGTAAGTACATCGTCTCCCATTTCACAGATTTGGCTGTGCTTCTGGATGAATTTCCGAAGATAGCCATTTGTAATTAGCGTGTTGGTAATTGGCTAGTTCATCGGCCAGACGGTCGGTCCAACGTATTTGTCTGGCACGACTAAATAGGGTCTTCACAAGTGTTCGCTTGTGCCGCATTGGCGTAAAGCTGGTAAAATACAGACACTGGCCGGACCATGTTGTTTTTCAGTACACAGACCTTTTTACCTATCAGGTCTCCATGGAGCTGACAAGAACATCCAAATATGGAACGCAGTTCTGTTGTTCAACTTCGCAAGGAACCCTCAACATGACAGGCTAGGAATTAAAGCGCGTCACCAGCTGTGTGATCTTTATTTCTGTTAAACAGAACACCAAGATATCGTCCACATAGCGTTTGTAATAGGGTAACTGTGCTATTTCTTTGGATAGACGTCATCCTATCGTCAACATGGAGAAATCCGCTAGTATGGAACCCACTGGGTTGCCCATAACGATACGGTATGGAGTGGAAATCGACATTCTCTGTGCATTGAATCAGTGATTCCCTTAAGAACTCAACCGGTATTGGCAACTAGAATCCTTAACTTTCTGCCAATTCACGAGTGTAGTCCCGGGTCTGGTGCAGCGGCACTGTAGTAAACAAGGATTCCACATCCAAAGAACTCATCACCTTATCGGACAAATTCATTTTATCAAGGTCTTCGACAAGCTTGTAATCTTTGAGGCCATATAAATTACACTGAACTGGCGAAATCACATCCATCAACCAGCGAGCGTTTATGTTAGACTGTGTTTGTTATCTAAAGCACCGGTCTGAGCGGTGCTCCACTCTCGTGCGTTTTTAAAAGCCTATATAGCTGCGGTGTAGTTGGTCCACTCGGCTTTAAACTATTAAAAGTAGCACTGTCGACCATTTGATATTGATGAAGCATTTCTAAGAGACAAATAATGCGAGATTCGAGCACATTCACATCATTCTCCTTTTCGTCGTTTACATTTGTTAGTGTCAGTGAGCATGACGCTCATCTCCTAGATATATTCATCTTTATTCATGGCTGCAACTCCTGAGCCATGACCCAGCTTCATTTCAACGACATCCTTGTCGCGCAATTCGCGTAGCGCTCGTACATGCCTGTTCGTAAGCGCGCAATTTTCAAGTATTGATGCAATTTCATTCTTAGATAACATGACCTTCTCAATCTGTGCCCCGTTACCATCCGTCTATCCACGGGGCACAGATTGAGGTCAGTTCAGAAGTCACTTGCTAGTCAATCACAAATCGACGACTAAGTCAACTGATTACGTTTGACTCTGCAGCGCACTGAGGAAGTCACCTCGCGTGGTGCTGAAACGTGTGCATACCAGTTGCGAAGCTCGGCGAACAGTTGAACCCAAGAAGCTGAATAGACTACTGGACCTATGGAACTGCTAGCGAATGGAGCGCCATTGTCATAGAGTAGTTCCATCATGGAATGGAACACGGCCAAATCACCGTCTTGCACACACCTGGACACATGTTTCTTGCAGTCTTATTCCAGCGTGTGTCTAACGCTTAAGAACTTCGCAATCGTCCATGTGACCCACGTTGAATCTAGATACCTACATGATTGCGTCGTACTGCCCTATGGATTCGTCCACCCAGATGCTGTTCGCGACATTACATTTTCGGGCTGCTCGTGAACTTTCGTGCATTCTACCCACAGGGCGCTTAACCGACCTTTTTCGGGCTTGGTCCCTCCTGGGGCTGTTCGCAGCCACAGTGGTACGCAAATCTGCGATCGGCTGCCGCCGTTCAAATCCACCATTCTTGCTTAAACTGGACACTTTTAAAATCAAACTGGATTTACAAACCATGTTACCTCACGCTAATGCAGTTCAAACTGTGAAGCAACGGGCGCTAGTGCAAGCCCTGATCTTGCCTTGGCCGTGGCTTGACCATGAGCGTCGTCCACCTCGGTTGATAGGTCGATACGAGGTCTGCCATCTCAACAATGCCACGACCATCACAGTAAACGCTCTACAAGATTAGGAGAAGTGCATCTTCATCTACGATGGACGCAGGCTCGATCTGGAAGTGTGACGCGTGCAAGCGTTGTCTTGCCCACAGTCGGAGTCCACATGGTGACGCTGCTTGTGACAATAAATAACCAGGGCATAGTTGTCACGTGTACATCTCACGATCGTTGATCCACGCTTGTCCTCCTCTGGTTGATAGTACACACACCTACGCACACATACACACCTTGCTTCTTAAAGACAGACCATTTCTGACTCAAATCGAACACACCAATATCTCATGCTAACCTTGATATTGTATGCTTCTTCACTACAGTTGAGTTACACTGATTTGCACCTAAACTAGATCTACTTAACCTGCTTAAAAGGTATTCCACTTTAGTTGATTTTCTCAGTTCTTTTATTCTGACCGATATCCCCTGTCAATTTTGCGTGTTTATTTTCCTTAAAATTACCTGTTGCTTGTTTGATATACGCGATGTGGTTGCGCTTGATGGGAATGTTGACACGGTGCCTGTCTGTCTAACACTCTTCAACTCGATTACTGACGTCAGAAGCTTGTGAATCATTGCTAGGGGCAGGGTACATGATCCTTGTGACCGTGCTAGGCTCAGAGAGCAGACTACATTCCAGTCACCGCATTTTGTACGTCTGGTACGCATGATTACCAAGTTAGTCGTGAGTGCTTCTGCCGTACATGTTGAAGGAGTGTGGGCCGGCTCGATTGAAGAAACCTGGCGCCTATCCACATGCCTCCCCGGTCATATTACTTCAGGTTTACACTGGATATGGGGGTGTGGATGGAGCTGTGGGTGGTGCAGCGCAAGCCACCCATGGTCCCTCTGTAGGCGCAAGCGTCTACTAGCTGTTCCCATGGAGGCCGCAGCGACAGCCAAATCCGAAACCGGATGCCGCCGACCATATTTATATATAGAAGCATTGTTAATAAACAACCTTGGTTGTTGCTGCTTCATCCCAACTACTCACAAGCCAAAGTAGTCAAACCCCAATCCGGAAAAGCACCAGACAATCGTTTCGCTCTATTTGGACTTGTCATTAGTCGCATTCTCTCGGTCCCTTGCTGGGGACCGCTAGCAACTTACTCCACCTAGCCAGCAACTTATACCTCTGCACGATGGGGATGGAGACAGACCGTCCGAGCTTACAATCCTACTGGCATATAGCGCAATTTGTCCTTCATTGCCATGCAGGTTTCTGCCATTGAGGTTTTGTGTCTTGTGATCCTTTACACCCGACCTGTTATCCATTTATAATCGTTTTAATATGAAGCTGCATATCGGATCATTTATTACGCTCTCACTTTCCCAACTTTAGATATTCCTTACTTTGGATCCAGTAAATGGAAAAATTAGTGGTGAATCTGCGCGCAAGCACATGATCAAGTCGCAGCTGCCAAGCAGCACATTACGGAAAATCTGGATCCTAGGTGACGTCGACCGAGACGGATGTCTAGATGAAGACGAATTCGCTTTGGTCTGCCACCTTATAAAATTGAAACTGGAAGGTGACGATCTCCCATCGGTCCTGCCTCCACATCTCATTCCTCCATCCAAGCGTCAGTTAAACGCCATTGTGGAAAACGGTCACGACCTAAACTACTGACCTACCTAATTGAAACACATCCCCTATCATCATTTTCTTAACCAGATCGGTGCTGGCTAGTCTTGATTCGATGAGCTACTTTGCACACACAGACACTGCGTGCATTCTTCTCCTAACGGTTGTGAGATTGTGGGCTCCTGTTCCTCTGTTTCAACAACGCTGTATCACGAACGACGCGATCACGCTTGCAAATACTCATCCTTTTTTCAAGCATGATAACAGTTTTGAAAAACACACCTCTTTCGTTCCTACTTATTATTACTATCGTCACGCAGCATGTTTTTCATACATGAGCTCGGTATTTTCTTATCTCCATTATTTGCCTTTCAAGTGCCGAGCTCGAAATGCAGCTTTCATTTTGTGTCTCTTATGTTCCGTTGGTTAATTTCAGGTTTCGAAACTGGGCTATCCGAGCTTCCATGTGATTACACCCGCATCTCTGCAACAGTCTTGTACAATTTTCCTCCAAATACTCGATTTCTCATTATACTTTACCTCACCAGTGCCACCTTGCAATTCACAGCAGATACAGTCATTTTCTTCGCTCCGTATTACGTTGCATCGCCCATGTTCATGTGATCGCTTGCATGCATGCTATCCAAAGGGGTGTGGTAGTGATTTAACCGTTGATGCTCGTCCGAACAGCTTTTCTGCAACCTTAATTGGCAGCGGATGACAACGGAAGTGGTGGCTCTGGGGGCCAGCCATGCGCTTTGTACACGCATGACAGCTGGGGATGAGTCTCACCATATTGCAGTTACTAATTAGCCATGCGGCCCACCACAGTCACTCATAACCATGTGACGTAAATCGCTGGTTAAAGCATACGGGTCCGGAGTTCGACTTCCTGAAGTGTCGGGAGAATGCACGCTCGTGACAAGTCTTAGCAGTACGAATTTGCCGCCTGCTACTTTTCCGGATATGGGTATATTTGTATGACTGGGATCTAACTGCAGCGAGTCGTCTCTAAACTTGCACCAAAATCCCCTTACTACTCTTCAGCAGTTACCTGTCTATATTCTGAACGCAGCTCAGCTCTGACAGGTTCCGGTAGCTTTGCCTCTTGATTCAGAGTAAATCTACATTTTATTGATCAGACTCCATATTCTTTGGATTGTAGAACATTTGTGACTGCACTTGCTGGGTCACATAATCGTAGTTTCTGTAAATTGACCAGCCGCTTTTCCACCACGAGAGTCATGACCATCTTCATAAGGGACGCTCATGAAACAGGATATGCTGCAAACAAGAGCTCGTAAAAGCATACAAAGGGTCCTTTGAAAATTCCAGCAGAACAGTTTTCCTCAGTTGGCACATGAAAGACTATGTGCCTGCCACACAACTCGTTGCGATAGATATATTACTGGCTGTTTATGATTTGGTTTGGAAGAGCCCTCCACCGATGTCCGTCACAGGTGTACGAGCCGGAAACTTGCGACGAAAACTCGCAGCTAGTCTCAACATAGTGGACCGTTTTGAAGTTAACAGCTTCCAGTCTCGAAATTGCTATATGGTTGGCTTGTATTCGTTAATGTGTTTAATCACTTGGCTCAAAGGAGAACATTTGTCTTCAGATAAAGGTGCTTTCGTAACGCAGAAAATATTTGTATATTTCAAAATTATGCAAAATATCCCAATATACCGGTGAAACTACGCGATGCCTTCAGACATAGTTGACGCAATCGGAGAATTTGAGAACTGTACGAGATGCGGTCCTACATAAAGTCCACACGAATACACGAGTTAGAATGTCACTTAAGATGCACATTTGAGACGGCACAACCGGTTAGATGATTATTGATTTCTAATTCTCATAACATAAACTGTGTCTAGAAAATAGCTCTATATTCAGTATTAACCACTCATAAATTATGCCCACTCAGATATCAAAGGGAAAAATGCGAGGCAATTTCTTTTTGATGAATCTCAGGCAATTACAGTTATGAAATTCATAATCATTTACATAGAGCTTTTACAAGCGATGCGGCGATCCGTCGTGAATGCTGCGACCAGATGAACATTGACAATCGATGTTCATTTGAACCCACTACCATTGACCACTACGCCTGAAGTTAGCTGACCAGGCTCGGGCCACGGTAGGGTTAAACTTTGTACAAGTACACGCTGTTTACACAGTTCCGGCTTGAGTTGCTTGATCGCAATTGCTACTGCTGTGACATGCAGGCGCTTTCTGAGTCCTTTTGGTGGCGTTTTGATGCTACATTCACCATTTGGAAGACATCTTTCGTCTGTGTGTCATGTCAACTATCTGCTAGGTGTTCTAGCATGGAGCTGTGGACAGTCATGATAGTAGTAGCACGATGTAATGAAGCAGCACATTGTTCTGCTATCCGCTTTGACACACGTCTGGTCGTGTGTCCGAGGTATCACACACCACAGGTGCAAGTGAACTGGTATAGGACAAAGGATTCGGACTGGGTCGGGATTCTGTTTTTTAGGCGGTTGATGATGAGCGGAACCGTTTCGGCCTGAATGCGGACTCCGGCAACCGGGTGCGTTTGGTTCAGAGCGGAAGCCAATTTCCTACCTAACAACTATCCGTGTGTGTGTTCTGACCTGTTCCTGCGTCACCCCTAGCGCAAAATACACTTATCAAGGTGAGCGCTTAGATAGGCTTTGCTGTAATCAATAAGAGGACGAGTAGCATTCCAATGGTTCAACGTCGCCTATGTTGCGCAGACAACTGCAGTAAACTGCTTAAGATCAGTATTACCTATTCTAGCTGCATTAGATCATACTGTCCGCAATGTGCAGGCAAATCTGTCCAAGAAGTGAGACAGACAAACCAAGTTGCTGACACAATTTGGTTTTGCCCAACATGTCAAGTCATTCCAGTGGTCAACTGCTTATCTTTGCTCATGAAAAAATGCGATAGGATAACTGAAATAATCGCGCAATTTGTAAATACTGAGATCCCTCCATCTGAGGTAAATACGGCCACGATAATATCTTACCCGGCCAAAGTGAGCTCTGAGTCTAAACCGAAGAAAAGAGCTAGACGCTCCAACCGCACTGCAGCGTCTGTGACTCTAAATCCACTGGGTAACCTCACTCCCATAAGTGGGCAAGCCTCAAACATGCCTGCTTCCACTTCTCCAACCATAGAGGCTTCACTTGGAGATTCATCCATGACGCCGACAGCTCAGAGCCGTAGGAAATCCGGTGCAGATAACAAGCAGGTAACGTACGCATCGATTGTCTCGACAAACACACCGGGAGGGACACACATAGGTCCATTTTCAGTACCGAGCACGCGTGGCGCAAAGCAGCTTTCACCGTCAACTCCAATGGTGTCCTCTAAACAACGCGAATTGCCGGCAAAAAGTATAAAGCCAACACTCGCTAGACAAAACCACGCTGCGTTAACTCTCGTGTGCACCAATGTTCCCGAATCCAAATCTGGAACAATAAAAGGCAAGTTGCAAGACGATCGCAACCAGTGGAGTTCCATCTGCGAGGCAATTAACATACGGGTTGAGCCTGCAATGCTGCAACGCGTAGCGCGTCACCCGACCTCAGTGCACTCTGGTGAACCTCGAATTCTTCGAGTAACACTAAACTCAGCAGATGAGACAGAGGCTGTCCTGCTCTCAGCAGTTCGTCTTCGCAACTCACCGAGCGGAGTACGCATATTGCCTGATCTACCTTGGAAAGATCGCCCAAAAGAAGCAGTTGACCAACGCGGCATTGCTAATAGAGATAGCAAGGAAACAATATTTGTTCATGGTGTTCCTGAGCTTCTGCATTCTTCTGATCACGATGCACAAACTCATGACCGAGAGCAGTGGTGCTACATCCGCGAAGCACTCTCTGTAGACAATGTTATTGCCAAATCCCTGACAAGAGTTCCGTCATCACCTAACTACAAGGGCTGCGGTCCAAGGCTTATTAAAGTAATACTACACTCCGAGGGAATGACGCAAGTTCTGTTGGATAGCTGGTTAAAGTTTCGAGCTAGGCTGCCAACAGAGATCCGGCTAAAAGCAGCAGACGAACGACCAAAAGTCGGAAGCAATTCAACGGAACTTGCAAACGCAACAAATTCCTTATCTGCACAGTCCTGCGGAAAGACCGACACAACCGCGCCCACGGCACACAGGAGGACCGAGCACAGCACCAGTGAAACTTCTGTTCAGGAACGCTTAATAATGCCATGCAACACGACTGAAATACATAAACCAAAAAACGATTAATTGCCGGCCACCTAACGGCCGGCTTAAAAGCGAACACAAACTTGACATCTATCAATGAACTCCTAACAACAAAAGCCCTATCTTGCATGTATACAAACGCCCAAGGCCTTCTAAGCAAGTTGGCAGAACTTAGAGAACTCCATGCCTCACAACCGCGGGACCTCGTCATGATTACAGAGACATGGTTAAACCCTGAGATAACCGATTCTGAGATCAATTTACCCGGTATGTCACTGCTTCGGACCGATAGAACCGGAAGGGGTGGCGGTGTGATTCTTTATTATAATACAAACCTCCGATGTGAAGTTATCGACCACCCGGAAATCCGAGCTCCCGATTCGCTTTGGTGCCGCCTATGGTTGCGAAACAAGGACACATGCCTACTAGCCGTGATTTATCGCCCACCAAACTCAACTTCGGAAATGGACTCCAAACTGAACCACGTTTTCCAGTTTGCTTTGAACAAGTCCTACACCCACATTCTTATCGCGGGAGACTTTAACGTGCATGACATAGAAACGCCAGCAACCGAAGGTATGCAGTTTAAAGCCTGCTTGCAAGAGCTTATTGCTAGCCACCCTCTTTACAACCACGTAACCTCTCCCACCAGATTTCGAACTGCTAACAAGCCGTCGATACTGGATCTTGTGCTCACTAACGAAGAACTCATGGTTAGCGGGATAGTTACAAGCACACCACTGGGTCGTAGTGATCATGTTACTCTACTCTTTGACTATATTTGCTATGCGGAGTACCCTGAAAAGGAGGAGGATAAAGTGCATACTGTCACACTACAATGTGTTGTCTAAGCTTGTTAAGGATACATCTTGGACTTTCTTAACCGAATGCCCCCCCCAGATGTTGCCTGGGAAACATTTACAAGGACGTTTAGTACACTGGTAGCGCACGCATCAGAGCAGAAGTCCTTCCAACCTAAAAACAAGCGTAATTCATTTCTGAGGAGCAGGACACGTAAATGTATGTCCCGGAGGGATTTGGCATGGCGAGATCACCAGGACTGCCCGAATGCCGAAACCTGGACTGCATACGTGACCCATCGTAACTTCTGTGTGAAACTGATCCGCGAAGACAAGGTCACTCATCAGCAGAAGTTAATGAAGCGATTCTGCACGAACCGCAAACTCCTGTACAGGCACGTTAACGGCCTTCGAAAGGTAAAGCGAGGGGTTCCAGCACTAGTCACGGCTGATGGGTGCACGCGATCAGCAATGGAAGCAGCTGATCTCCTACGGCTTCATTACTCCCAAACTTTCCAGGAGGTAACGAGCACAAACATTCTCCTCATTTCTAATACTCCACCATC